GATATGTTTTATGTAGGAGAAGAGGGATACTTTTGTGTTCATAAGGGTTAATTGTGGAAAATTTTCCTTTTGAAAGAAAATACTTACCATCTAGAGACTGCATTTGCGTGAGAACAAATTCTGGTCAATGGGAGGTAAACAGACGATATACATGCAAATTATAGGTCATGTCTTCAAAGGAAGTTGTGTACTCCTCATTCTCTTTTCTTCCTTTTCTGGTATCAGAAAAGTAGCTGGGGGTATGAATGAAGAGGCATCCTAATGAGTGGTGAACACCACACTTGAAAGGTCCTGAATGGCTAGATTACTCTGTGAGTAGAAAAGCCTGTCCTATTACATGAGAGAGAACTGGGCCTTTATCAAACTGAATCACCATCTTTCAGATCTTTTTAACAGCAACATCCTTTGCTAATCCAAGAGAGGATGCATATGAGATTTACAGTTTAAGATGCCGCCTCTGACTGTGGATGACAGGCTGGAAGAAGATAATCCAATTAGAAATAGCCGTTGTGAGAAATGATGACATAAAAATATAACACAGTGACAGTGGCAATAAAGATGAAGACACTGCTTTGCAAGATTGGAGAAGTAAAAGTGACCAGACATTTTCAACTAATTAAATATGGATGTTAAAAAATGAAGTAAGTTTTAGATGAGTCCAAATTGTTTCAGTATATGCCTTTTTATGCCAGGTACTTGGTTATTGGCTGTGCATTAGGAGAAAAATAATGCTTCAGTGAAGAAAGTTATAGTTTTGACAAGACAACAAATGAATATACACACATATGAAAAAATTAAGGCAGGAAGTATTTGTTTAATTACCAGAGTTAAATTCAGTCTATAAAAGCTATGAGCTTTCAAGGTAAAAACTCTTTATAGAAGAAAACAATAAAAATGTTTCACTTAGGCCTGGTCATAAAAGGATGACTCAAATTAAGATAGGAAAGAGAACAGATGGAAAAGACAAAAGCTAGCCATGCAATTATGGTTAATATTTGCTATTTCCAGAATCCTAGTTTGAAAATTTGTATTTAATTTTGTCATAGAGATTGTCCACTTTTCAACCTATGAGTTTGATAAAGTTAAAGAAAATGCTGTTATTCTAAATAACACACACATACAAGCACAGATGCCCACACACACACACTCCACCTCTAAGTATTCAGATTTTAGATTTCTTCAATTTTATAAGTTAAAAAAAGTAAATTCTTTATAGAAGTGACAGGTTTATGTTTATTTTAAGATTTGGCATGATATTTGCCATCATCACCAAAGATTTGTAAAGATAAAATTATCTTTCCTTAATTATGTTTCTTTTTAAATTTTTTTAAATTTATTGTTAGTTTCAGGTATACAGAACAATGCAATAGTTATCTTTTTCACCCTCAAAAAATAACAACCCTCCTTTCCCTATCTATTGCCCTCCCTCCTACGATATCATGCTTATCTATTACAATTCCATTGACTCCATTCCCACTCTCTACTCCATGTCCCATGACTATATGTATATATAATTATAGTTGACATACAATATTATTCAACTTCAGCTTCAGAAATACAGTGTGGTGGTCAGTCCTCTACACTGACTATAAAGTGGTCTCCCCCACAAGACATGAGTCCTTCTGGCCCACTAAGAAATATTTACAACATTATTGATTATATTCCCCAGACTGTCTTTTTCTATCCCTGAGGCCATCCATAATTGTGTTTTAATCAGGATGATGAAATATTCCTTGTATACAATATACATTGCATTTTAGGTATATAATAATGTGTATACCATTTATTGAATACATATTATATTGAGGTTCTAATTTCATGTGTGTATTCACTCATTTAAGAAAGATGGAGGAAGAAAAAAAAGAAGAAAAGGAAGAAAAAAGGGGGTGGGGTAGGAAGGGTGGGAGGGAGGACAGAAAGATGGAAGGACGGAAGTTCAATGAAGGTATATTTTATACAATTATAAGACTATTAAGTTTGAGGGATGACTGTATTCTTCATTGTTTGCAACAATCACACTCTTGACATGGCTGAAATTTGTATTCTGAAAATTCTGCTAAAAGATGAACACATGCATTGTGTTTAGTAATATTTGAAAAGCATTCTTCCCTTGGCTGCACTCTCTAAGTCTCTCCCAGAGTGTGATGATGACCCAAGTCTCTTAATAATTCCCCCCATAAAGTCCACAGCTCCATCTGTATTCACCCTCTTCACTTCCTTCTCTCTACTTTCTGTCCTATTTTTCTCTTTCCTGCCAGTTATATCCTGCCCATAAAAACATAAAATTGCTCTATATCTCTCCAGTTCCGTAACTCGACTATAATTTACTCTCCCAATATGCCAGGATAAAGATTGGAAAGCAAATCACACAATGTCAGCATATCCTTCAGAGGATTTGAAGAAAGAAAAAGGGACCACTGAACATTTATGAGTTAAATTTTGTATTGTTCCATTCGGAATTATGAAAGTGTTATGCAAAACTTCTAGAAATAAAACTCTTTTTATACCTTGAGGATTCAGTGTCCAAGGCATTCATGACATTAAAATAGTCTGACTCTAGAAAGTTGTTAATAAATCCCTGAAAGTATATTTTGTATTCTGGGAAACTGAGCACATACAACAGCAAGCAGCATAATTCTATCTGGCTCCAGTAATTGACCAATTTGTTTGAAAGATAGAAATGTGCCCTTTACTCTGAGAAAAATGAAAATTGAACATCCATATCCAGTGCCTGTAGCCAATTGACTTTATTGTGGGAAGTTCTTTACAAAATCTGATATTGCCCAAAGTTATCATCACTGTCCACTTTGCTTTTGTAAATGCTCCGTCATATTTTGATTTTTTGTTCAGTAGAATTTCTTCCTCATTTATTAATTTAACAGACATTTATTGCATCCAGACACTGTTCTAGCCACCATACCTGTTTCTAGGAATACAATATGAATAGAAAAAGAACTCTGATCTCAATTAATTTATGGTCTTTGCATTTGTAAATATGTAAGGGTCACACATGTAACAGGAGGCTCGGTAGAGCTGTGTTGGGGAGGAAAGTGAAACAAAGAAGGAATGCTGAGTTCAATCCAAGAGATGGAAAATGACTACATGATGCTAAAAATTGAAAGTTTAATAGACATTTGACAAGTGGAAAGCGTTGGAGGGCATTCTAAGCAGAGAGGGCATGTGTGGAAATCAGCTTGGTGTATGGGAGAGGTGGGAGTCTGTAGAAGATGCTATTAACTGCAAGAAGAAACTGAAGAATTCTGCAGGAAACCTTGACTTTGTTTTAATTTTGGTTAATTCATTTTATTACTCTTGGATCTAAATTCATCTTACTTCCCAAGGGCCAAGTGTTACTAATATTATGGGATCAAAAAGAAAATGCATTCATGTAAATGCCTAAGAGATATCTATGTTTTTGTTGTTCCTTTTCTTTTATCCCCTAAACAAATATATAGCCATTGTCTATTATAAGTGATTATAAATGTTTCTTCAATCTAGTATTGAAACAAAATACTCAAAAAATCTTAAATCAGAAATTATATATATATATATATATATATATATATATATATATATTTAGCTGAGCCATCCTGCCACCTGTTGGCAGCTCAGTGGCTGCTCAGCTCGGGCTAGACTCGAACCGCTGTTGCTCAGAGCTCAAACTCTTGAGCGAGCTCTTAACCAACTGAGCCACTCGGCCGGCCCTCCAGAAATTATATTTTAACTTCTGTGCTGCAACAATATATGACAAGTGTGAACCATTAAGTCCACAGAAATAGTAAGTCTACAGAAGTAAGGCAAAAATTCAAGTTTTCACAGAATTACCAATGTTAACAGTTATTTCTTATTATTTAGTGAAATCATTGCTTAATTTATTTCCTATGGGGCTAACAAAAAATAATAGTACAATTTGGAATCTCAAATGTCAATGCTAGTATATTATAGTAATTATAAATCAGTATTCCATTAAAATGTTGTTCACTTTACATATGAACGTCTACATATTTGCAAAGTATACTGTGACAATTAGACACAGATTGCATATCATTAAAGAATTAGACTAATCTGAAAAAAATAATGTAGTCTTAATAAAACTGTTTAAAATTATAATATCAATAGATGTATTATGTACATAATCCTTCAAGTTTAGTTAGACAGACATATATTAATATAGATGTGTACCTATCCAGCTTGTATAAACTATTAATTATCTGTCAATATCAATTTTCTTCTTTCCACTTTAGTAATAAAACTTCCTGAGGTATAGATAGATATATGGCACCCAGCCAGAGACCATATTTCAGTCTTTTTCCAACTATAACCACATGGCCAAGTTCAGGTCAGTGCAAGATGAGCAGTCATGTCCTTTGGAAAGGCCTCTCACTCTCCGGGTCCGCTTTCCTCCTCTTTTACAGGCTGAGATGTGGGGATGGAGGTAGGTAGCCAGCTTTGGCCAAGCACAGGGTGCAGCACACATGAGAAGAGGGGAATGACACAGCAGAGGGGCCTTGGGACCTGAAGGATGACCTACAGAAGCTGTTGCTCATCTCCTTGAGCAGCTCAGCATTTTACTTCTCATAGCTTTATAGAAATATAGCATAAAAAAGTAAATGTATCATTTAAATTGTGCAGTTTGATAAGCTTTGGTAAATGCACACAGCATGCCGCCACCATCAAAATCAAGTTTTAGGGCACCTACCACCCCCAAATTTCCCCCTATGTTATCCTGCAGTAAACTCCCTGCTTCATGCGAAAGCCCTGGCCACAACTGCTCTGCTTTATCACCATAATTTTGTCTTTTATACAACTTTATATAAATAGAATCATGTATTATGTAACATGTTTTTGAGATTTATCCACCTTTGTTTGTGCATAAGCAGTTCATTACTTTTTATTGATTAGTGGATTCCGTTTTATGAATAGACCACTTAAAAAAATAAACCCTGTTCACCAGTTGATGGACTCTTGGATTTTGTCCATATAGGGGCTGTGATGAATAGTGCTTCCATCGGCGGTGAGAGCAAGTATTTGTACGGCCGTACGCTTCAATGCAGTTTGATAGATAACTGGGAAAAATTACAATTCACATTGTAAGTATATGTTTATTTTTCAACAAACTGTCAAGCAGTTTTCCAAAGTGGTTGCACCATTTTACATTTCCTGTATATGAAGACTTCAGTTTCTCCACATCTTTACCGGTGCTGGTCTTGTCAATCTTTCTAGCTATTCTCGTAGGTATTTAGTTACTGTTAGTGATTTTAATATATTCATTTATGAAACATGTTTTTAAAATTTTTGTCAATTTTTAATTATGCTTTATTTTTCTCATTGAATTGTAGGTGTTCTTTGCATAAAGGACTATATATATATATATATATATATATATATATATAGAGAGAGAGAGAGAGAGAGAGAGAGAGAGATGACATATGACATAAATAGAGACAAATAGATGGATAGATATGGATATAGATATGTATTACAATGGCTTTGTCAAATATTTTCTTAATATGAAGTTTGTCCCTTCATATTTTAAGTGTCTCTAAATAAGCAAAAGTTTTATATTTTGGTAAAGTTCTCCTTAACTATCTCTGATATTTATTTGGCAAAAAATAAAATAAAATATTTTACTATAAACCTGTTATCTTAGTCTCTGTTAAAGCAATTAAAGGAATACCTTACTTAATGTATGAAAATTCTACACCAGTATACGAGCAGCTTTCTAAAATAAATTTATACTACTTTGTAAAGTAAAGCATACTAAATTGTTTTAAAAATTTAAAGAATCTTCATTTTCAAGAAAATGTGACTAAATATGTAAACTCCAGCCCTTTTTTCTAACTGAAATGGCTTCAGTGTAAAAGGGTGAAATCAGGATCAACTCTGGAAAATAGACTTTCTGTACATTCACAACTTTGAGGGGTGCAGTGCTATTTGTTTGCAAGACTGCACTTTAAGAACAAACACATAAATACAGTCCATTTTAGGAAGTGTAAAGACCCCACTGAAAAATCCCGTTACTTTTTCTATACCAATTCCCAGCTCATGAGAAGCTGAAACTCAAAAGCAGTGTATTAAGATTATATGAGCACATATGGAAACTTTGGCAAATGTTGGAAACCACATAGAGCAAAAATTTCAAAGTATCCTAATGTTCCTCCCTTTTACCACAGGAAGTGGGTCAAAATTAGCAGATCGGTGCCTGCTGCTGATATGTGACAAGAGTAATCCTATCATCTAGGGAATGTGATCATTAAAGTTGCTTATTATAGTTAATATATGAGGAAAAATGAAAGGAAGAAAAGGAGGGAGGGAGGAAGGACAAGAAGGTGATGATGGTAAAGAGAGGACAAGAGAGAGAGAAAGAAAAGCAAACAGGCACATGTTTTAATAATGGTGTATCATTCTTCTTATGCCCAAAGCACAAGTAGACCTCATTTGGCAATGTTGAACTCCAAAACATCTTTGATAGACTCCACATCAATTTTGAATGCTGAAATTTAAAAAAAAAATCACTTTGTAAAGGAAGGAAGGAATGCAGCTAAAAATGTGAAAGAAGAATGTGCAAAAGAAAAGTTTAGACAATGCCCCACCTCTTATTACCAAACAAAAAGCGTCCTCCAATTCCGCAGTCTCTTCCAACCCAGTCACATTTGCTGCTGTTGACTGGTTTCCTTTGTGAAGCCTTTCCTCCAGGTTGTAAAGATGTTGCCCTTTCAGTTAACTCCTTTTGGCACATGCCTTCCACCCTTCACTTCCTTTGTTGACTCTGTGCTTCTACTTCCTGTCATTAGATATCGCTTCTTCACTCTCCATCAGTGATATTTATCTATGCCCATGCTTTAAAATACTAAATAGATTATGTCAATCTCTGGGTATAACTCATTAATGACTTTCATTATATGTGAAATAAAATTCAATTCCCCAACATACTTTTAGAAACCATGCATGATCTTGATCCTGGTTACCTTTCTGATTTATTCCATGCTGTTCTCAACTACTGCCCTAATCCCTTCCATTAATCCAGACCGAGGACCTTTACACATACATTTGTTTTTTGCATAGAGTTCTATTTTAGTCATAATCCCAAGGTAAGTCCTTCTCTTCTTCTAGCTCTCACCATAAATATCTCATTATCAGAAAAATCTTCCCTGCAAACCTAAATAGCATAGCAACTTTTTCTGAGTATCTATTTTATGTCTTAATTGGTCCTATTTTCAGTCTTTATCGTGATTTGTCATTATTTAATTTACTTATGTGTTTACTTACTTGCTCTATTACCCCCATGATGTATAAACTCTATGAGAGCATGCATTTTGTCAGCCTGGAAGTCGAAGCCTGGAAGCTAGTACTGTACATGGCACATGATAGATATTTGGATACATCTAATGAATAGATAAATGAACTCAATGCTTCATGTGCCTGATCTACTTGCTATTTTTCAGTGTATCAAAACATGTATTACTTCTGTTGTTTTGGTTTTTCTCTTCTTCTTTTCTTTGATATTCCATTATACTTTCAAAGCTCCAAAGTAATGGAGCTTTGCTGAGTGCCACTGTCTCTTTCCCAAAAAGCCAATTAACCAATTAGCTACAAAAGAATACCTTAAGAAATGGAAAATAATTAATTTCTTTATAAAATCTCATAGCATTTGTGTAAAGGGGTCTTTTCCTAAGGAATTCTTATAATACATTACTGTTGGTATAGGAATTTTGACTTTTAAATGTTATATTTTTTTCCTATATTAAAATAATATACTCTTCAACATTTGCTGAAGTGAAGTTTTTGATATATACACAACGTTTGTATTAAAAAATACTACCTTGCAATGGGTAACTAGTAATGGACCAATAGGTTATATTGCCTATGGGTGAGGCATATAGTACATTCAAAGGATTCTTAAGATTTAATATTATTGGTTTTGTTTATATGCACCAAAAGAAAACATGAATACTTATGCTTCTTTATATTGCATGGGTGCATATAAAAACATAATTTAGAGTCATCAGAGGGAGAGAATAAACTAGAAAAAAAAATTCTGTACCTGCAGAGTTCCTGGGTTTAAACACATGGTAATTCCATGTGGGTTTGAATATCTGTGGAAGGGTGCCATGTTTTTGTGGGTCTTTTCAAGGGATTGGAGTTAGAAACACATTTAGAATACATAGTCATCAATAAGTAACTGTCCCTTCAATTGTTTTCTGCTTATGGCAATGCATTGTAACACAAATCTTAAAAAATGGTAGGGATCCTGATTTGAGGTTAACTTAAAACATAATGTTACTGTAAAGAAAAATCACTCTTTACCTATGATATAAACATATTTTTCTTTTATTGTTTTCTGAAAAATTGGGCACACCTAAGACCTTGAAATACAGAGAACTGGTGGATTTAATTCATAAAATTGTGTGTTGCTTAATACCACAGGTCTAGTGAAAACACACACACACTTCTATACATGAAAACCTGTTTTGGAGACAGGGCTAAGTAACCTTTGGAATACAAATTATTATTTTACTGGGATCTACATGTATAATTAGTGGAAGGCAACCTGTTTTTAGCTATTCGTACACAAAAATATTCTATCCAATTGTCATGGTAAACCAAAATTTCCAAGGGAAACCATACGTCAAAAAAAGTGACCAGGGTATTTTGAGCTAATATTAGGTAATGTCTGCATAAAAATCAGGGCATGTTAAGAGTCTATCCTGTGATCTCAGAATGCAGATTTTGTTTCTCCATCTAAAGTTAATCAACACAACCCTTTATTACATAAGGTAAAATAAATCTATGGTTCAAATATTTGGCTCAAAAATCTGGGTAAAGTCTTAACTATTTTTAATTTGCAAAAACCAGGTCATTGAAACATTGTACGTAACACTAAGTACTTCAATTTTAGAGAAGGAAGGCAGAATTGAACTAAATCAAAGCATAATATTTGGATTTAGACCTAGTTTTGAATTTCATTACACTTCCTGATTGGCAAAGGACCCACCGTTTACTAATTTGTAAAATGTAGATAGCAATAGTTTTCCACATGGCCATTGGTAACAAAGGAGGTGATGATAATTAACTTCTCTGCATGAATATAGTGCCGGGAAAGCTCTTATGAGAAAGACTCCCTTATCATTTTGATGTAGAGAGAATGCCCTTTGGTATTCGATATCGTCAATGAGCTAAAACTGTGGAGTGGATGCTTCTTATTTCTTCCCCCTCTAGACCATTTATTATACTAAACAGAGGCTCCTATTGTAGTCTGTTTAGTAAAAAAGTCAGCAAGATGTCATTTTTACATTGTAACATTTCCTTCTGAATATTCCACTTGTGAAAATAATAGCAAAACACAGAGAAACAGGTACTGGGTCTTTGTGTAGTTTGGATTTTCTATCAGTTGGTGTCAAAATAAGAAACAGATGGTACCCAGGAAAGAGGAGGAATGCTACTTAGAAAGAAAACACACACCGTACATCATGCCATAATCTGAGGGTAGAGGCAGTGGATCTGTTAACACATATAGCCTTAAAGGAACTCTGACTGTATGACATTCTGGAAAAAGACACAGCTATGTAGATAGTGAAAAGATGAATGGTTGTCAATGGTTAGGAAGGAGGGAGAGATGAATAAGGGGTACTTGAAAGATTTTCAGGGCTGTGAAACTGTTCTCTATGATGCTGTTATGGTGGATACATGTCATTATTGTCCAAACCAATAGAACATACGACACCAAGAGTGAACCCTAATGTAAACTATGGACTTACAGTGACAATGACATGTCAATGTAGGTTCATCAGTTGTAACAAACAGACCACTGTGGTGCAGCATGACAGTGGGACAGTCAGTAACTTGTGTGAGAGTAAATGGTATATGGGAACTCTGTGCATTTTGCTCAGTTTTGTTGTCAACCTAAAACTGCTCTAAAAAATAAAGTCTATTTAAAGTACACTAATCTTACTGTCTTCCATCCCCCAATCTCTTGCCTGGTTATCTATGGACTAAAATAACTGGAGGCCATTAGAGTACAAGGGCCTTGTTAGTATACTCTGTGCCGTCCAGCCAATCAGATTGGAGGGCAGGAGAGAAGGCGGGAGAA